CTGGCTGAGGGTTACAAACCCTCTTTCTAGCTGGAACTGCGGGACCCGAGTGAGGGCTGGGAATGGCCAGGTCGAACCCGGGGTCAAATACAACCCAGCCCCTCCCCCCACATACACGCCTTAAAGCGTAGACTACATAGTTTGGCGATTTTTACATATCAGGATTTATGTACTCAGTATTTTAATTTAATTTTACGGAATAATTTAGCTGATGGACATCTAGGCAAACAGTGCGTAGTTGCCCAAGAAGACCCTGGTTAATGGAGGTTAGCAGACACAAGGAGGAAAAAAGAAAACCACAACAAATCCTGACAAAAACACCGGCTACTATATTTTAGCATCCCACCCCTGGAATGGTCTATCTGGGAGCCTCTGAACCCTAAACCCTTTCCTTCAATTTTGCAGACTCATTTCCAATTTCCCTGCCTCTGTAAATAGAGTCCCCCTTCGCCTTTCTCTTTCTCTTGCCTAACTCCAAAGCTGAGCTGTTGCAGCTGTTACTGTCTCTCTCTCCTCCTCTCTTCTAGCTGTAATTCTGATCTCCTAACTGTCCCCCAAGCCCGTCTACATTCTATGGGTGACACGCCCTTCTCCCGTTATGCTCCCAAGCTCTCTCTCCCCAAGGTTTAAAAGAGTCACCTTCTCTGAACTCCTTCAAATCCAGACTCAAAACCTTCTTTAGAAGAGCCTTTACTTAACTGGTTCCATTATTTACCCCTCTGCTCCTACTATACTTACTGTAGTACCACCAACCACAGTGTCCTCTGTGTATTGTAATTGTGTTTTATCTTGTGTATTCTTTTTTATTTATTGTTGTTGTCATTCTGTAAAGCGCTTTGAGAAGCCACCTTTAAAGCCGCTATATAAAATAAAGTTTATTTATTATTATTATTATTATTATTATTACTTGCCTCTCCTCCCAAAGAGACCAGCACGTCCGTGTACCAGAGAAGGGCAAGAGAACTAGTGAGCTGCAGTTCCAGTCTCCTGCCTCTCTTAATACACCACCGCATGCGCAAAGGGAAAACATATATCGTTGCAATATGCGTAACTAACACAAACGCAGCCCACAGGACGCTACACCCAATTTGGTAACCCTATGACTCGAGGATGAACGCTGTGTTAAAATGTTATTGAGTTAATAACAGAATGCTAGCTGTCTGTACAGCGACACACAAAGCGTGTTTTTAATATATATATATACACACTGTATATCGCCCTCTTGCTCCGCGCCGGCCCTCAGTTCCAATGAACTTGTTTATCCCTTTAATGCAACATTGAGTTTCCTAGGAAAATCGTTCCATTGTAATTACGAACAGGGAGACAAGCATGTACCTGTATGTGCTAGTTAGTGCGGAGCCGAGGCGGTGTAACCGAACTATCTGACGCTGGCGGAGGAGCTGTGTGATTGGTCGGTGTCTAAACCCGAAATTTGTTGTCTTCTGCTGGCTCTATACTCCCCATACTACTGGCGTGCCTCCTGCGGAGCGGTGCTGCTACAGGGCGTAAGGGCTCCTCGCCGGGGTTTGACTTTTTTCCACACTGAAACCGTGTTTCAGGTAAATTGTCATTTGTATTAAAAACGTACATTGGTTGCTATTGTTTAGATAAGACCTTTCCACCGTCTAAATTTAAACAAAAAGCTTATTTTGGGTAAAACTACAGTACTTTCACTTTTGATATCGTCAAACAATGTTTTTTTATGATTTAGATACTTAACGCAAATTAACGTTTGTATAGTTTTTATTTGTTGGATTAAAATATGCACATATATGTAATCATTTTATTTTTTTCCTACAGTATTTATCATGTTATTCCCCTTGACATCAAACGAAAGCGAACGTTAGTTAGTGGGTGCGTCCTTTTAAGAATTACAGTAAATTCTTTTTTTTAATTTGAGGTACAAAAGACATGGAGGTTTGATCTTTAGATTATGAATTGACCTGCTGAAATCGACAACCACAAAATGCTGCAGTTCACGCTGAAGTAGCAAAGATTTTCAGAAGACTAAACGGGTTCTGTTACCTGACCTCGCAAGACATTTGCAGCGTAGAGAGCTACTGCAACAACATTTTTAAGTACTGTACATGTAACAAGTATGACAGATGCTGTGCGGGTGATCATTTTACTTACAGTAAGTAGTTTAGGTAGTTGTCTTATTTGCTGCAACGACGAATTGGCTGGATTCTTGCTTATGTGGTGTAACTCGCCTGGCTGAGGAAACAGGCGTCAACCGGGGGGAACCCCCTATCTTCACGAGCCCAGGGGTGTACTTCATGAGGAGCGGTCCCGGTGAAGAAGGGGCTCAAGGTGGGGTTCCCGAAAGAAAGCGCAGAGGGGGGAGCTGAGCGGTGAGATGGGGAGTCTGCCAACCTCCGCAAACCTGTGTGTAAAAACACCATAAAGTAGGGCGCGGTGTCGTATTTTCATTTAACGAGTGTTCTCCTTCTTAAAGCCCTTCTCGGGGGGCAAACGATAGAGCTACTTAAAATGGCTATTACAGAACTATATGTAGAGAATCGGAGAAGGAGGAAAAAATCTAAAAAAAGTTTGCCAATTTAATTCAGACGACAACAGGTATACCTTCCTAGTATAGTAATATCGGAGTGAGGATGAGAGAGAGTGAGCAGACAGAAGGCGAGTTGCAGCTGTAAGGAGAGGAATTGTTTGCCCTTTTGTATACAGAGGTGTATAGAAGCCCGTTTCCGCCAGGGAGTAAAAAAAAAACGCGCTATGGTATCTCAGAATTGCGACTTCAAAACTCGGAATTTCGACTTTATATATGAAATGAAATATGGGCTATTTCGAAGTCGCAAATGCGAGAATAAAAGTCGCAATTGCGACTTCGAAATAGCCCATATTTCATTGTCTGTCCTTTTGGTATTGTAACGGATTCGGGTTCTAGGGCTTGTGCCCTCGCCGCTCCCGCCCTAGTTCGTGCCTCACTGCATTGGCTCGAACCCAGGTCTTGCCAGCTGTACTAAAGAAGATCTTCTTTTTTTAAGTAAAAAAGGACATACAATGGAAATATGTAAAAAGTATAAGTTTCAGCTTTTATAATTGTGAATTCCTCTGGATGTGAAGTGTCTAATTCTGTATCTTATTTCATATTCTGGTGTTCAAATAAAAACTTTTTTAAAAAGCCCACCGTTCTCTATTCCATCCGGGTACTATGGAAGCCTCACTGGCGGAAATGGGATTTCATAATAATTAGTGTAATTAATTTGATTTTTATCAGGGCACTGTACAAGACAAGTCTTCAGGCCTATAGATCCTATGATCCTGTACGATTCATGAATATAGTGTAACGGAACGGCCGACATATAGGTTGCAGTATGGTGACGGCACCGCCCTCCCCTGCTCATAACAGGGATGCTGGCCGCTGGGGCTAAAGAAAGTGTTCTTTAGCTCGACTGGCAAGACCTGGGTTCGAGTCAATGCAGTGAGGCACGAACTAGGGTGGGAGCGGCGAGGGCACAAGCCCTAGAACCCGAATCCGTTACAATAACAAAAGGATAGACAATGAAATGTGGGCTATTTCGAAGTCGCAAATATGAGATTAAAAAGTTGGAATTCTGAGTTACTAAGTCGCAATTCTGAGATACAGTACCATAGCACGTTTTTTTTTTACTCCCTAGCGGAAACGGGCTTCCATAGTGGAGAGATCCCTAGCAATCCAGTAGATTTTTTTTAGTGCAATATAACAGATGTGTCTTGTCTACCGTAAGTGCCAACCTTTTAAAAATGTTGAGGCTAACTGGAAATAATTAATTGAAATTATGCTTTCTGGAGGGTTTTTTGTATCCCTAATCACCAGTGTGTTTAAGCTTGTGGAGCACTGTGTTAAATAGTGTGGAAATAGTGTACGTTTGTCTGTCTTGGAATGTGCTTGAAGTCGTGGAGGGTGTTGCAGATTCACAATACTCTGCACTGAAGTGCCAGCGCTGCACTGCCTTGAGGGCTGAAAACGTGGGCTGCATTCTTTTTCCTCTCGTTGTAATGTGGTAATGCAATATTGTGGTGCGAAATAAAATAATGGTGTTGACTTCGACACCATGCAGTCAGCAGTCTGCACACAACAGGTCAAAGGCTGCGTGGAGACACTTCCTGGTTATGGCTTCCTTTCTGCCCGCTCTCTGCATTAAGTTTTGGGGGCGGGTTGGAGCGTCTTGATTTAGGTAACAGGCGCTGTAGTTAGCACATGTAAAACATCAAGGCTGTGCTACCAGCTCGACCTGTTTTTATATGGAATGAGGAAACCTCAACATGAGAGAAAACACAGCAGCCTCACAGCCCCACAGCAGTGTGAGTAACCAGGAGAGAACAGGTAGGGCATTGCCAGCACACTGGCATTGATGTTGGCCGGGTGACAGTACTGCCGCTCCCTTTTATGACATTTCAGGTTAAAAAGAATCAGCAGTGACGAGTGCATTTCAAACCACGATAAAAGTCAACTGTACACAGTAACTAGTAAAAACCTCCAATTTACATCCCACAATAGATGACATTTCCAGGGATGCGCAGTGACATGTTCTGCAATTCAGGCAACAAGGCAACAAATCATCTGGTGATGTGAAGCGGCCCTGCGATGTTGTAAACGAGCGGGCTTGTAAAAACATCTCTTTCAATCCAATAGAAATATCGTGTCTCGATGCGTAGTTCTGGACCCTGTACAGACGGTATAATCCGGAAGTGAGTGGAGTAGGACAACGTGGAGGAGACGACGAGGATCAGAGCAGGTTGACAAACAGGGTGGGGCGTGACAACGGCGAACTGGTGCTCGGGGGGGGGCGTGGACATGGCAAACGAGCCCAAGGGAGTCCAGGGGGAAATCCAGGGCAAAGTCCAAGGTCCTAATCCATCCGTGACGAAAACAAGATCAAGTTAAAAACCGGAATGGGATCCGGTACAGGGACAGGGCAATAAAAACAGGATGACGAGGCCAGGCGCTCTGAGCCCTGGGCTCAGCAGGGTCAGGACGCCGATAGGAGGCCTGCGCCCTCAAGCCGTGGAGGTTCTGTGGGGGGACGGTGGTAGACGGGCCTCCAGGCGTCCGTCTTCCAATGCAGAGCTGGGAGTAGCGAGAGAACCCGGCTGAAATAAGGAGGGGCAGGATTGAGGGCAGGTGCAGGGAATCAGCGAAATGTGAAAGAGCCAGAGCGCCCTTAAGAGGAGAGATTACCATCGTGACATATTGATTTCAACTTCCAAACGGTTTTGCCTACAAATACTGCATACTTGTTAGCTCTGCATGCAGACCACGTTGGAACATTTCTGCAGTGAAATGTCTGCTGCACAACCTGTACTTATTCACTCGTCCATCACATTACATGAGTCATTATGATGACTAGTGAGCAGGAAGGGCGGCTTCGCAACTCGTACGAACTCTATCGAACTCTCTCTTTGAGACCAGAGGTTTGCAACAACATGGCGACTTGCAGTACTCTCGCTTGGTTTGCGATTTGGAGCTTAATTCAAAATTTGTAGAATTTTCCTATAACTTGAATTTATTTTTTTACCATGATTTCATAACCGGTCTGAGAAATTGGGGTTGCAGTTCCCTTTTAAATAAGAAAATCAAAAAGTTTTGCAAAATTTGGTGGTACATGCAGCGTCGGGGACAGTGGACTTTAACACATATAAGTCAGTGTGCAGCCGCGGTGAAGCACTTGTCTTGATGGAGAGACATAGTTTTACAAAGTACTCCATTACAATTGCAAGCTATTGCAAGGAGATTTCTTTTAAGTGGTAGTGTATTACTGGAGGGTGGCATGGTGGCACAGTGGTTGGCATTACTGTCTTGTAATCCTGGGGCCCTGGGTTCAGTTCCCATGCCTGTCTGGAGTTTGTATGTTCTCCCTGTGTTCACATGGGTGAGATGAGTTTACTCCGGGTGCTCCAGTTTCCTCCCATTATCTAAAGACATGCTTTTTTGGTTAATTGGCTTCTGGAAGAATTGGTCCTGGTGTGAGAATTGGTCGGTATGGTGTGCCTGTGGCTGGAAGGTTACTGGTTCATATCCTGTGACCGGCAGAGGAATCCTACTCTGTTGGGCCCCTGAACAAGGCCCATAACCCCAACTGCTCCAGGGGTGCCATATAAATGGCTGACCCTGCCCTCTGACCCCAAGCTTCTTTCCCTGTCTGTGTCTCGTGGAGAGCAAGTTGGGGTATGCAAAAAGACAAATTCCTAATATAAGAAATTGTATACAGTCAATAAACTGATAAAGTGATCAAATTAAAAGTGAGTATGTGCTCATCTGTGTTTGTGGACTGGCGTCCCATCCAGGGTGTATCCTGCCTTGCGCCTGTTGCTTGCTGGGATAGGCTCCAGCTCCCCTGTGACCCTATATAAAGCGGAAAGGAAGTGGATGGGAGAAAAGCGAGTAGCGATCCAGTCAAGTGCCTCCTTGTTGCCAACCCATGTCAGTGCACCTCAGTGAAGCACATTTTCCTGATGAGAAGCTCGCCGGTTGGACTTGCAATGTCCTTTGAGTTACCGCCAGTCACAAAGAGAGGACCAGCCAGACAATTCTGCTGAGTCTTCAGTGTTTTACGTTTAGCAACTAATACGAACATGATTTGCACTAACAAACAATAAGTCTTCACATCCGTCTCGTTTCTCAAATTAATGATTTTGTTTCAGAGTATCAGTCTCCTGTTAAATACACACTTTCAATGCTTCAAGCAAGCATCAATACAGAACTCAAGGACCTATACATAACCAAGCTCAATTGTACTCTGAGACTCGGTCACGCTAAACATTGCTATTGTAAACTGAGCATGTAGTCAGCAATCAGTGTAAGTTGTACACTTACAAGACAATAGTGTTTATTTTGACAGTGAGAGATTTGTGACACAAATGGCGCAAACAACAATGTTAGTTACAGTCAAACTTCAGTCTTGCTGGGCGAACTGATCAAATAGTGTGTTGAATACTCAATTTAGCCAGATAACATTTGTACAAATGGTAAAAAAACTAATACTTCCTAACAGAAAAAGTGTCATAAGATAATTTTGTGCAATAGAAATAGTTTAAGTAATCCCATTTCATGTAAATATCTGGGAAAATACATTTTGCCTTAGCTAAAAGCGTGAGTGAATTTGAGAATTCAGAGTAGGATATTTTTCTCAATGTTAAATGCAGTCCAGATATAGTTATATTCTATCTGTAGTCTTGCCCATGAGTTGAGAGTTGACATTTTTGGACATGCTCATCAATGTCATGTTTGGTGTAAAAAAAGGTGAAGCTCATGTTAAGTGAACACTTTGGGGCACGGTAGGGAATCAGGTATGTTTTGGGATTGTTTGATATTGTATGTGCGAATCCTGGAGCCACTGTTTGGATAGGGGGTTATCATGAACTCTAACGCATATAAGGATATTTTGGCCAAACACCTCATTCCCTCTCCTGGTGAAGCTTCAAACTGGCATGTCCAGTGAACCAAATAGATAAAGAAATGGTTTTAACTGCACTGACAATAAATGTTCCTGGCTGGCCATCTCAATCCCTAGACCTCAATCCAAATGAATTTTTCTGGTTTCTGGTTCAAGAAGTCAGTTCATAAACAAAAAAACAAAGAGTCTGAAGGACTTTGAGTAATTTAACCTGGGAGAGTCATCATCAGAAATCCCCTTTCATGAGACCAGATCCCCTTAGCACACTGCAGACTACAGTCTTGTTAGTGTAATCCCTGCCAGAGGAGGATTTACCAAATGCTTACTACAGGGATGAGAATAAATGTGATCATTGTGTTCACTGGACTTGAATTATGACAGCAATGGTTTGCTTTGTGCAAAACGATTAAGTTTATAATATTATAAAGTTTTTAGAATTTCTTCAAGCAAGGCTATCTAATTGATAACTCAGTCTGTCTTGTAATGTTTTTTTTTGTTTCATCAGGAGTACTAACAAATCTGGTGGTCAGTATGTATAACATACATTAAAAATACAAACTAATTTTCCTTTGACGATAGTATAATATGTTCTGTATTTTATATCAGGAAATGAAAAATTAATGTATGTTTGAGGAGCTGAACACTGAAATGTTTAATTCTTAATTTGGTCTACCTAAAAACTGATTAAATTTGTTAAATGTATAAATAAGGGGACAGTTTACACAGTTCCATTATTTAGTAGTGTGTGTTTACTGTATATGGAAAATAGTACTGTTGGATGCAAATGTACTGTACATACAGTATTTGCTGGTGTTATTTTTACACTAATTTCAAGCATGCAGTAGTTGACTTGTAGAGAACTCTTCAGACCTGTTTATACAGCACATTTACTAAATTGTATTGTGGATATTTCTGGTTTTCCTCAATATTTACAACAATGCATTTAGCAAAAAAGTGATGGTATTGAGGGGTTGCAGGTTGCGCTGTGGTTAGAATTGGTGTCTTGCAGTGCTGGGGCCCTGGTGCTTTGTGTGTGAGGTTTGTATGTCCTCCCCTTGTTTGTGTGGGTTTCCTCACACAGTGTAAAGACCTGCTGGTTTGTGGGAAAACTGTTCCTGGTATGAATGTGTGCCCTGTGATGGCCAGGTGTCCTGTCCAGAGTGTGTCCTGCCATGTGCCTGTTGCTTGCTGGGATAGGCTCTGGCTCCCTGCAACCTTTTAGGGGATAAAGAGGTCAGAAAGTGGATGGTATAATTTTTGTTTAATAGTTTTTTTTTTGTATTACAGACATTGAAAAGTATTTCCGATAATATTTTGAACTGTTGCTGTAATTGTTATTTTATTATTCTTAAATACACTTCTTGTTTGGAAGGAATACCTATATATATATTTTTTTTTAACAAATGTTATTTTGCCCTAAGTTTTGCATATAACTTACTATGTAAATATAGAGCTTTTTTGTTTGTAGTTGTTCTTCTGTGTTTGTTTTACCTGCTCCAGGACTTAAAATGCCTTAAAGATAATCCTGAGAGCAATAAAAGACTTAGCATTAAGAATATTGTTTCTTGTCCCACAGGAATCGCAAAGATGACTATCTGGCTTATCACTCTCCTAATAATATGTGCTTCCGGACAAGGTAACTGGATTGCTGTAATTTTTGTAGATGTAGTAATGACTTAAGTCGTGAAGCACAACCAAAGTTCATTATTGTATGGCACGGGTTCAATTTTTTAAAAACAGTACAGTATTGGTAACATTATTGACATATCAATTCTCGCTTGTGAACTGGGAGATTCCAAAGATGGGGTTGATGAAACACATTTAAAAAAATCTTTTTGTACCGTAGTATTGCTCTGCAGTTACAGTAGGAGTTCACACACATGGTTCCAGTGTAAGGTCTCAACACATGTTCGTCGTTGACAGATAAGGAAGACACTGCCTGTCAGAGGCCTTGATGCAATGCTGGGTCTCTGGAGTCAGGCTTGCATGTGGTTTGAGTTACACGTTATGGTACAGAATTGGACATAACTGGCTAAATTCATAGTGTACATGAAAGCTTCTTTTTTATTTTACAAAAAAATGTATTAAGAGATACAGTCTCCACACTCTGAAAGCTCAGTTTATTCCCACTGTAATATATATCCAGTGGTCTTAACCATTTAGTATATATTGTATTTCTCTGCACCTTGCCTTTCCATCCTGTTAGCCTATTTAACAGTAATTCCCAAGAGGGATTCTTGAAGAGTCCTTGAAAACATAGTCCAAACCATGAGAAATACTCCCGCACCACTACACCCTCATATCGCACAGTGAGAGCAGATATGTCCCATCAAAAGCAAATGGTGTGTAATGGGATTCACCCCACTGCTGATGGTCTTAAGAGTGCTCCCGCCATCTCTGTGCATCTGCAAGTGGAGAGCTGGATTGTGGGTGACTCCTCTAGGCTTAAGGTACATGTTGCTTTGCTCAAGTGTGTCTCCCCATCATTCCCCCTCCATGCAGTATTGCCCTTGGTTGACTCCAGGAAGCCCTGAGTCTCCGCAGTCATGAACTTCTCTAACACATGTTGCAGGCATAACAGGTTGCACAGTCTTTTTACATGTTTTCTATATAGTACCTAACCTCCAGCCATTTCCAAATATGATGTTTACCAGTACTTCAAAACCACAAGTCATATCACTTACTAATTAAGGTAATGGCAGTTTGTGATGGTATATATCAGCTGTAGGAAACTCTGAACCTTATTGACTTGATTGAGTCAATTAAGTGGGTAAGAAGTCCAATCAGCTGTGCCTTCCAAGCCTTCTTCGGGTGCTGCCTGAAAGGTGCCTGCAGTAACCTGGTGCTCCAGGCCCAGGGGTGCCCTCCCCTGGATGTACTCTTGTATGGATGTTCTCTTGATTTCTGTCCGGCTTGACATTTGCTCTTCCTCTTCCCAACAGACATCACGCTGCAGACAGAATCCGAGGTCCGGGGAACTCTGTTGGGAAAGGTGACTTTGGGATGCCAGATACTGGGAGGAAAGAGCGCGGAGACCTCCACTGTGAGCTGGCTAAAAGATGGGCAGCTTATATACACCAAAGTGGGCAGCACGGGCACAGCACAGAGCGGGTATGAGGGCCGTGCTAGTGTTGACAGCACGAAGCTAGCCTCGGGAGACATTTCCCTGATTCTTTCTAATGCCACCATTAGCGACAAAGGGACGTACACCTGCCAGTTCGAGTCTGCCAGGAAGAACATGGAGCTCAAGCTCGGACGTGAGTTCCCTTGTGTCCGCAATGCCGATTCTGTCCCGTGGTCCTCCGCGCAGTTCTGTAGTGAGCCGTGCCCATTTCCGGCACAGCTGCACGCTTCCTTGTCTTAGTCTTCACCCCCAGCTCCTGCTTCTCCCCTATCCATGTCTTCATCTTTGTTTTCTGCCCTGCCAACCTCTCATCCTTCCTCTCTTCTTCGCTCTCTTCTCTATCATCTTACTTCTGATCCCCCCCCCCCCTTCTCCTGACGTCTCTCCCCAGTTTGGCAGTAAGAGTTGCTCTGGGATTTGGCTCGCTGCTGCAACTGCTGTACTGAACGGGGAGAATAAAGCCCTGGTACGCCCACTTGCCAAAGCCATTCACATTTAGATTGGCTGCCAGCTCCTGTGCCTGGCAGGGCAGTGGGCACCAGTTGGAGGACAGGCATATCTCACACTGTTACTACAAGTCAGGGGAACTGTATTTTTCTCAAGTTAAGGCTGAATAATGTTTGCCCCTGTCCCCTGTGGCACTGACAATTGCTGCGCAGGTCACAGTCACAGTCAGCGATTGACATGATCCCAGGTCATGACATCTTGGCCTCACAGATCTCATCGGTGCTTTGAAAACATGTTTATCGCTTGAGCCACTCATGAGCCTCTTTTCTTCTCCCTTCTAGATTTGGGATCTCGACCTGTGTTTGTCATGAAGAAGATTTCCTCGCCCCGCTCGCTGACTCTGTCCTGCAATTCCGAGGGCTGGTACCCAAGCCCTGCCATCAGCTGGACGGCCAGTAACGGCCAGACCCTGCAACCCGAGTTCCAGCAGGAGACGGGCCCACGAGGCATGCTCCAGGTCCAGAGCAAGGTCACCCTGACCGCTGAGGAGGGCCTGAAAGTCAGCTGCAGAATGAACAACCCAACACTTGGCACCGATACCCAAGAGACCCTCAAGATCTCTGGTGAGCCCGTGTATCCCATCTGCAGAGGTTCACCTCGTGAGAGAGGCCTTTTAGAGTGGTTTTACACTTGCCAAGCTTTGTGAGATATGCACCAAGATTCACAGCACCAGTAACCCTCAGAGCTCCAACTGCCAGCCCAGTTTTATACCAGCAGTCTCTGGGAGATCTCCAGGACAAAAGGTTACAGGGGGTTAAGTGGGATGCATTATTGACTTTCTGTGGATTGCGCTGCTAGGTTATCACTGGATATGGGCTCTTCTTCACCCAGTTTGACTACTTGACCAGAAATGGCAAGTTAATATTGAGCATTCAGCATTGACGCCTATCCATCATGTTCCAATATTTAGTCATTGAGAGCATTTCACTAGTGCCCCAGCTATGTGCTTTCCCATGCCTCCCAGTGTGCTTTGTCATGCCAATAGAGATCAAGCTGCAGCTGTATCACAGATCCTTGCAGACTTTTTCATACTATGTTAACTTCTGGTGACGCAGTTCCCCACCTCAGATGATATGTTTGTGTTCATTAACTCACTAGAGGGGAGAGATTCCCAGCTCATCTACATTTACAGTTCATGCCTCAGACTTTTCATTAGTCCTCGGGTATCCTTGTCACCCTGGATGATTCACCTCATCGCCTGAACCTCAGTTCTTGGGTTGTGCAGCTTTTTGATTTCCTTTCTCACAGTTGATAATATTATCTTTTGCAGGCCCAGCTCCCCTGCACGATTAATTCAGCCTCTGATCAAACGTTCTCTGAAAAACCCAGTTAGCCAGCATTCTTGAAGCTTAGATCAGTTCCTCACCCTCAGCTTTCGTCTTCCTGCCACGTGCTGCTCTCTGCTCTCGGTTCCTCTTTGAGTCGCATTAATAAGTTTGTTAACCCTTTCGTTCCAACGTGGCCCCTCTTAGATCTTCCACCATCCTATTTATGTTCCCTCATCCTTCAAGAAACACCTCCAAAAGTGCAGGCCTCCTAGAGCTCTTCCTGTGAAGCTGAGGTATGCATCCCAATGGAGCACTATTTCTTTACTGAGACGTACACTTTTAATAAAGTTATAATGAAAGCCAGCCCACATAACACCTCGGGCCTATCTCTAATTCCACAAAACACAAAGACGTTTAGCACATGTCCTAAATCCTGTTTCTGTGTCAAAGATTATGTACAGTACATTACATACAAACAACATATATTATGTGGAATCAATCGCAACTGCCACTAGATCTCAGTCCTGCAGTGAAACTTGGCTACGATTGAAGTCATGATAAACACAGCCAAGAGAGAACCTCAACTGAACCTGCAGAGAGGCTGGTTTCTACGAATAACTTTTTTTAAAAGTGTATTCATTCCTACTTCTTTGAAGTGCGATCAGCATAACTCACCACTAGGTGGAACTGTTCTCCTTGAAGATTAAAGTAGATTTTTATCAACTGGAAAAAGAGGAGTAGGAATCTGTGCCTCCTTGTGCATGAATATACATTTCACAGTTCCGAAAATGAGATTTGGTAACTTTTTTTCTTATGTTTTGCTTTAATGCATTTTGTATGATTAATATTTATCTCATTCCATTTCTGTGCATGCCATATCAGAACCATCAGCTAGCTATAGCAATACAACTTCACTGTATAACTGCAACAACTACTGTACAACAGCTGAAAAACAACAGGCTCAGAGTGAAGCAGGCACAAACAACACATTAGTGTCTGGCAGTGTGCATCTTGCATGGCTCTACAGGAGCGATCACATCTGAAATACAGAGAAGCCAGCTTTTTTCAGGAGTCCTTTTATTCCAAAGCCATAAAAAAGTGAAGAAAATAAGAGAAGGAGCCTATGAAAGTTGATTAGTGGACACTGGAAACAAAACAGTTACACCCTGCTCTAGCTCACAGTTTGTTTGTCTGGAATAGGACACTTTTTCTTCGAAAAAATAGGGCTAATTTCATGACCAAAGCTCTGGGCCTCTTCTGCCCTGAAAGCTTCCCAATAAAATACAATAGAAAGAGAAATGATTAGGAAGAACTAAACACATGATGAATTGAAAAAACACTTCTGACATAATGCCACTGATTTAAAGGGATTCATTCCATGTGTGGTTGAATGAAAAACAAATACTCATTACCTAGAAACCAGCTACAGGCCAGTTCAAGACCCTTATGCTGCTGCTGGAAGAGGTGTTAGTGGGGCCAGCAGGGGGCGCTCATCCTGCGGTCCATGTGGGTCCTAATGCCCTAGTATAATGATGGAGACACTATACTGTAAACAAGCGCCATCCTTCGGATGAGACGTAAAACCGAGGTCCTGACTCTCTGTGTTTATTAAAAATCCCAGGATGTTTCTCAAAAAGAGTAGGGGTATAATCCCGGCGTCCTGGCCAAATTTCCCAATGGCCCTTACCAATCATGGCCTCCTAATAATCCCCATCTAT